AAGGGGGGGGGGGTGCCACCCTTCCCCTGCGGTGTGTCCCAGGTGGGGATGGCTGGGGAGCGGGGCAGGGAATGCGTTGAGGGGATGCTGAGCACCGCGACATTGCTGCTGTAACTGTCTGTGTGCCTGTAACTTGTCAGAAATGCTGCACCACTGTAAGGGATGCCTGTACCAGCTCCGGGAGGGGCTGTGGCTGGGGGTCACGGGGTGGGAGCTGTTGAGGGGTGAGCAGTGGTGGTGAATAAAGCAGCGGAGTGTGGCCAGCAACATGGTGTCAGTGGTTTTTCCCATTTCTGCTGCGAGGAGGCTGCACCTCGATTACTGGGTTCAGTTTTGGGCCCCTCACTCCAAAAAGGCCATTGAATGACTCGAGCGTGGCCAGAGAAGGGCAACGGAGCTGGGGCAGGGTCTGGAGCACAGGTCTGATGGGGAGCGGCTGGGGGAACTGGGGGGGTTTAGTCTGGAGAAGAGGAGGCTGAGGGGAGACCTCCTGGCCCTCTGCAACTCCCTGCCAGGAGGGGGCAGAGAGGGGGGATGAGTCTCTGGAGCCAAGGAGCCAGCACCAGGCCCCGAGGGAATGGCCTCAAGCTGCCCAGGGCAGGGTCAGGCTGGCTCTGAGGAAGGATTTCTGTGCAGAAGGGGCTGTTGAGCGTTGGAATGGGCTGCCCAGGGCAGGGGGGGAGTCCCCGGGACCCCTGGAGGGGTTGAAGAGTCGGGCTGAGCCAGCGCTGAGGGATCTGGTGGAGTTGGGAACAGTCAGGGGGAGGGTCATGGTTGGACTGGAGGAGCTTCAGGGTCTTTCCCAACCGAGATGATTCTGTGATTCTGAGCCAGCCCAACGACAGGAGCTGGGTACTGAGCACACCTCGCTCGGGAGGGGGATACGGGATGGTGGGGGGAGACACGGGGGCAGGCCGGGTGCTGTAGCGAGGGCGGGCATCAGTGTTGCACTGTAGGCTTGAGTGGTCTGGAAGGAGACTTGTAAAGAAACCTGTAACCTGTAGCAGGTAGAGCCCGTTGTGTGCTTTCTGTGGGGCTGCAGAGCAGTGACACGTAGCAGTGAAACTCAACTTTATTAGGAAACACGTAGCTCTGGCACCTGCCTCTCCATGCTGCCCTTGGTGGTGACCCCCAGAGAGGCAAGGGGTCAGAAGCAGACGACAAAGTGAGATGGTTAACACAAGTTTGACCCCTAAAGGGGAAAAAGAAAAAAGGACCTTTAAAAGGTAGGGTAATGCTACCCTGTTAGGCTGCCTAGAGCAAATATTTGAGCAGCCCAGGCTGAGAGGGTGGCATATCAATCTGATGTAAAAATACGAAAGGGTTATTATCCGCTGGCAAAACTGTCACACCGTGCAGTGTTTAAAGAAGTTAAACTGCCAACCTGTTGCTTTTGAAGCCTTTGACCTTACACTGTCCAAGGCTAACATGACAGGTGGCTGTTTTAATCTTTCCCCATGAAGAGAAGCTGTGAAGCTGGTGTTAAATGAAGGCCTAAGTTTTGGACATCTAACACACACACACACACACACTCTTAGGTAATTTTTTTAGAAAAGTACGTAAGTAATTTTTCAGCAGACTGGAAGCTTAATTTGAGGGCATAGACATGATGTAACATACCACAGTAGGCTTCTCTAACTTGCTGTCTGTCGCACTAAGGCTTTGCACTCTAGCCAAAAACCTAGATGAAGGCCTAGAAGCTACATCCTTAGGCCAAGCATTAAGCCTAATGCTTTAGCTGGAGACAGCATGGTACGAATTTGACCAGTGTAGCACAGGTCACTGTTGAAGAAACGTTAGGACTAAACAGTGAACCCTCTAATCTTGCTGTCGAGCGTAAAGATGTGAACGTACAGTAAGAACACGGTGTATAAAGCAACAAGATTTTCATATCCAAATATTCACAATCAGGGAAAAACCTGGAGGTAACTTTTGAAACTTACCTTGTACATGATTTGACAAAAATTGTAAACCTGAGGACTGTAGGAAAAACATGTTTTTAACCTTCTAAATCTTGTTAAAGGGTAAAAAAGGTTTATAATGTGAATAAAAAACCCTCTGTATTTTTAGTTAGTTTTAACTAGTTAAATAACTAGAAGCTTAAACCTTACAAATCCTTAAAATGATCTTTTTTTTTTTAAAGTTGGGGTAACAAATAAAATCTTGGTATTTAAACAGTTGATTTTTTTTAGTTCCTTATCTTTCTATAGACTGTAGATTTCAACGAAAATCTGCAGGTTGAGAGAAAATGAAAGCTTAGGATTTAAAGTAAACCATGAGTTAGGTGCTAGTTATAAAAATACATTAAAACTTTAGTTGTTAAGCTGTAAAGTTTTTTTAGAAGTTTAAAAGTGCCAAGTTCTAAGATTTAGCAACTAAAACCGTACAGTTTTAACTCTAGAGCTGAATAAAATATTTCATTAAAACCATGTTAACTCTGTACATTTTATAGCTTTAGTTTTACGTCTAGAGGTTAAAAAAAAAAACAACTCTCTAAAAGTTTATTAAATCCTGGTTTTTAAGCTGTAACAGTAAAAAACCCACATAAGTTAAGAGTTAAGAGTTTTCATTTAGAAAAAGTTTTTGAGCAGGTTTTATAAAAGTTTTATAAAGCCATGGTAGTATTTTTTGAGGAGAGTTTTTAAAACAGATCTTTGATGTTTTTAAAAACTCTTATGTTTGAGCTTTTAAAACCATTATTAAAAAACCTCTTCTTCTAATGCAACTCCAAAAAAATCCTCTTTTTTTAAAAGCTAACAGTTTATAAAAACCTCCAACATTTTAAAAAAATCTCACTTTAATAAACTCTAGAGAGCTTCAAACATTTGTTCAGCCTCCTAAGCTTAGTCTAAAAACTGTTAAAAATCCTCTAAACACCTGTTTAAACAGTAACTATGTAATTCTAACACTTTAAGTTTAGTTATAGGAACTTTTTTATGAGTTGTAGAGGTCATCTTAGTTCAGAAAGTTAAACTCACCTGTTTAACTTGTTTGATTAAACACTCTGAGGTCTTTTTGAGTTTATAAGTAATCAAACTTTTGTATAACTCTCTAAAAATATATATAAAGGTTTAGAGGGGTTTTGAGTTCTTTAAACTAAGTCCAAAAAAAGGTTTTAAGTCCTTGTACAATACTTTCTTTGATCTAAATTCAAAAACCTCATAAAAAGGTCTTTTTACAAACTCAGAAGAGAGTTAGTTTTAAAGACTTTACTGTAGAGTGAGTGGAAGACTTGTTAAACAAAAAACTTGGAGACAATGTAAAAAGAGCTTTTTTAGAAGCGTTAGATTCTAAATGAACTCTAAAAGACCTTAAAGCTCCTAAAAAGACCTTAAAGAGTTGTTAAACTCTGAAAAGTTTGAGTATTTAAGAATTTTTTTAAGTCCCTAGAGTTTCAAGACATTTTCTGAAATTCCTAAAGTTATTTTACATTGTTGTAAAACCTTTGTATAACTACATTAGAACCCTCTAAGAAATGTTTATCTAAACTCATACTTACTTCTATAGAGTTTAACTAGTTTACTTAATTATTACACACTTTTCTTGAGTTCCTATAGCTAAAGTTTATAGTTTATAAAATTCAGACTATTGTACAAGTGTTTCACAGTATTGTACAAGAACTTTAACCACAGTCTTATACTCTACACTTCTAGTGTAAGACTAGAAGTATTAATAAAAAGTTTATTATTAAGTACTAAAGTTTACACTTTAAATGCTTAAAGCTACACTTAAAGAACTTTAAACTGTAGGAACTACAATCTTATTAAAAGTTTCTAGAACTTTAACACTCAATACTAGGTAAGGTTTAGGTTTGAGTGTATGATTAGTTTAACTTTAGTTGTATAATCTTACACTCAGGACCTTAAAAAAGACCTTTAAAATTTTTGTATTGGTTACATTCAAAGTACCTAAAGTATTACACAAGAACTTAGCTAGTGTTAAGCGTATAACACACTTTACTTGGGAACTGACAAAGTATTAAGACTGTTGGTAACACTCAGGAAGTACTGTTAACTATATAAGACAAGACCTACACTAAAAAAGCCTTCAAGTGTTTGAAACTTTACATTGTTTTTGTTTCAAAAGTCTTTAAGACTTTAAACACTTCAAGGTTTAAAAAGTGCATAAAGCAAAATAACTTTAGGACTTTATAAACACTACGGTAAACACTAGTTCCTAAGGTCCTAACTTTCAGTTAAACACTGTTCTAAAGAAGTGGATGTTAAACCTTTAAAAGACCTTTAAGAAGTGTGTTTGTTTAAAGAACCTCTTAAAAGTTCTTTGAGAACTAAAACTTAAAGTGTTTTAACATCTTAAAAGTTCTATAAACTTTAAAAAGCAAGGTAATCTGAAATTTTGTAAAGGTCTTAGAAGAAATTTAAAAGTAGAAAGAACTTTGTAAGTGTAAATGTCAAGATTTTAAGTTTTAGATACAGGTTTTTAGACTTGAACAAATAGAAGACATTTAAAAAGCTTTTTTTTTTATTAAATAGACCTTAGAATTGACCTTAACACTAGCTGTATAACTAATTTTTAAAGTTACTAAAGAAGTCTTACAGTTCAGGAACTTTTAACCTAGGTTAACTTCTAGTTAAAAAGTGGGGTTTGGGTTTTTTAAAATGTTTATGATCTTAAAAGCTTCAAGTAGAAGGTTAAGGTTTTAAGTTCTTAACCTAAGAACTTTGAAGTTTTACACTTACTGGAACTAAGTGTTTAACTTACGTTGTTGAAAAACTTAAGAATTTTTCTTATTCAAAAGGTCTTAGCTAGTTTCATGCTACTGGTTTTCTCTTCTTTTTTTTCCTCTCTTCTCTCTCCTCTTTTCCACTTAACCTAGGTTATGTAATGCTACCAGTAACAGCAAGAGGCTAAAAAAAATTACTCAAGCAAGGTTTTTCTTGCTCTTCCCATTTGAGAGAAGCCCTCAGGAGATGCTGAAATGGCATCCACAAGACGGAACAGACAACGGAATACAGTGCAAAAGATTTTATTTTTTTTTCATTGCGTTTTGTTGAAAATGAGAAATATCAATTGTAAAAATCATTTCATTCCACTGAAGCACCAGACCTTGACTCTATCCATCAGTTACCCAGGGAGCAAAGGACACAAACATTGCAATCACTGAGAAAAACCTACTTGGAGGCTGAGCCCAGGCATGTCACAGCAAGCTAGAGGCGCTCTCCTCCACGAGCGCGGAGGCTCGGGGCCAGCACCTGCCCTGGCAAAAGGGCTTCCTTCAGCCATCCCTGCTCCGTCCCTGCCACCTCCCATCAGCACAGCGTCAGCCTCCATCTTACATTTCACAGCAAGGACAGCATTCACAGATTACATTTCTCAAGACAAACATCTCGACAGACAGACAAAGGCCACCGGGAGCATCGATGCTGAAACACAGCAGGTGCTGATTTCATCCAGCCCCAGGAAAGTAACTCTTGTGCCTGGCAGGGATCTCAGAGCCCACACATCATTTCCACGCGAAGAAGAATTTTTTACGGAGAAAATTGAAACAGCCTGGCATCTGCTTGTACCTCCCCTTGGCAGAGACAGCGTTTGCCACCTGAGAACGGAAGGAGAGCGGCTGTGGAGCTTTTCTGACTCATGCGTCAGGACACGTTGACAAGGGTGGGGAATGGGACTGCGGGATGGGAGAGCAAGCAGGTCTCCTAAAATGAGACATTTTCACTGGCAAAAACCAAAGGGGATTCAAGGAAAAACAACCTTTCAAGAAACCCCAGCTGCACCAGCCACCACTGCCTCCAGAGGGTGCTTCTCAGCAGGAGCTACAACGCCCTCTTTCCTTTAGGGTGTTTACTTAAAAGCAAATTCTCTTTCCACTCATTTTCTTCCAGACATGTCTGTCACTCCCCCAAGGTCACTTCCCTGGCACCGAATGCGAACTGGCAGAGAGGGTCTCACACTACTCCCTTGAAATCAGCAGCTGCAGTGCCACCACATGCTGAGAAAGCACCATGGCATCAGGAAAACAACAAAGTAGGTCCTCTCTCCCCTGCCACCTCCACCTAAGACTCTTCCCCTGCCCCCAGAGAACAGTAAAAGTGTTTAGCAGTACCTACACTTGTCCTCAACTTTGACAATCTTCTCTAGCCAACAGGGCACGCAAATGAAGCTGTTTATTAGCCACCCTGGTTCCACGCTCCCTGCACATTGCGCTCCTCGTTCAAGGACGTGTGAATACAAACATCTGGCATCAGCTTCCTGAGGGTGAGATGCTCCTCCAGACTTACCACGGTGTCACAGCAGCACCAGGGAGAGCAGGGGAGCACTTGTGGAGTTCTCCAAGCACAAGAGACCCAGCGGGTCTTCCCCGAGGGGGTGATCTGCCCGGACACAGTCCCGGGGCCCATCAGCTTGGATTTTTGAGGATGGGACGAGCTACACATTTTTTTATCAATTTCCTTGGAAAAGATTAAAGCCTCTATTTTTCGGGATTACTTTTCACTAGAGAAGCCTCAAAGTGATTTTTGGCAGTTGGGAGGCCAGATGCTTTCTTCACAACTAGACCTCTCCACAGCAATTAGCCAATCCATAAACCGAATGCTCAATATCCTCATTCCTTTTTTAAGCGTAGACCTCCATGCCCTGACTGACTGCGGCTCTGACTGCTTCCTTCATCCTTTTCATGACTACACAAAGCAGGAAAAAAGGACATTTACCCGCAGTAACATGTTCAGCAGGTCTTCTGAATGGGCATATTGCTCCAGCACGCTGTCCAGCGTTTCTACGTACCATGAGCCACTCGACACCTCCCTCCAGGAGACAAAACCTTCAGAGAAAGAATGAGAACGTTTCTGCTAAAGCCATTTGTCTGTTCTCATCTCACAGAGTTTCTGTCGCTCACTGGGTGCCATCTGCAGTGGAGCCAGTTGTCCCTAACTGCCCCTGACACTTCGGCTGTGAAGCTTTGACTTTTAGCTAATTCCACTGTAGCCAACAAAGGATTTGTGTGTTCTATCTCACCTGGAAAAGTTGAATAGGAGACCAAGATGTCGCTGGGTGTGGGCAAACTGGCTATGGCATCTGGCTCGTCCACGTTACCCGATGGAGTCTGAAAAGGGGTCGCGTCTGACTCCAAAGAACCTCCAGGAGCTTCGTCACTGGGTGAACCATGGTCCACTACAAAGCCTCTATCTTTCTGTTCTGCAAAAAGCGGCAACAAGACAATCCCTGAAATTCATCTTACCCAAGTGTTCCATGATCATACATCCTCCGTTAAGAAAAGATTTAAAAAATAAAGGCCATCCAACAAAACAAAGCTTTTTGGCTGCACCGGTTGATTTGGAGGCACTGGTGATTCACGTGATAGCCCTCGGTCTGTGCTTCTCTTCTAACCTCATGGCTGAAGACGTGGAGCAGCCACTCAGCAGCCGAGTGCTGCAGGTGCTCCCCTCCTTCCACCCCGCATCTCCCTACTGTGCAGTAAAACTGCTCCAGCAGACGCAGATCAGTACTGCCCTCCTGTGAGAGCCCTTGGACTCAACCCGTGCTAGCAGTAAGAATGTGTGGCTGAGTCAGAGAAGACAGACAGCCAGAGAAACAGGTGACAGACAAAACAAGGAACAAGAAGCCAAAGCCTAACCATGACTCCGAAGCCTGCTTATGCCCAACAACTGATTCGCTACTGGAGCCAAAACAAAGATTCACCTCCACCACAGGCCTGGATGAAGAAGAGTTTGGGTTTTCCTCTCAAGCTCGGGCAATTGGACCCATTGAAATAGTTCACAATCTTTTCTATTGGAATGGGTTTTCCATCTGTTCCATAAATGCCTCCAGGAAATTGAATATGGCTCGTCTGCAAGAGGAAAATCCAGAAGCTAGTAATGCAGAAGGTGAGGCCAGCTCTAAGGCAGCCCTTTTCCAATTGGGTGTTTTGTAGGCTAAAGTTACCAGAACAAATCTCACTTCCTCGTGTTTGTGCAAATGCATGCACCATGTCAGGGTGAGGGGGCACCCAGGAGTCCTTTGACACACATCAAAACCCAGCAATCCAACTCCTCTTACCCAACTCCTCCCCTGCATGCTCCAGCCAAGGCGTTCTTCATCCTCTGGGACAACAGGCATGTAACACACACCATTTTCCTAACAACTGCTCTCCTCTCCTCATCCTTCGAGGCCTCTGACTTGTGATAAAGAGGCTTTACTAATAGCATCTTCCTCATCAGAGCTGGAGCAACAGGCAGGACTCAAGGACCACAGTATGAGGGTTAGCGCTACCTCTCGTCGCTCTCTGCCCCTCATTCAGTGCTGAATTACACACCCCAACTTCCAAAACGGAGAACTCTTGTCACAGGCAACGCTGGGTCAGCCTACACTGGAGAAGCTCCTGTTTTCTTTAAGCCTGATATGAGAGAATCACTCTTTGCAACGTCCTGCGATGGCAGAACGGCCACCAGATCCGTCACGAAAGACCATTCTGCTTCCCTCCCATCCTGCCCGAATTGTCCCTGTGCCACAGGCAGGCAGCTGCCTGACGAGCCAAGGCAGCAATACAATAGACCCACCTGACAACCATGGGAAAGGATGACCACGATGCAGCAGTCCAAGGTGCTGTGGTCCCGCCGTGCCAGATTCCGCAGCTCTGAAACCATTTCCTACGTGAAAAACGTCAGGGTCAGAGTTTTTTCAAACTGTTCCTCAGCCACAGATTACTGCTGGGCCCTGCTCTTATCAGGTTTATCCCAGCTGTGCTGCTAAGAATAATCCAGTTGAGATCTCTGCCACTTTCTGTCCAGCAGAAGCAGGACAACACACTCCCACATACAGGCAGCAAAAGCCAACAGCAGAGAGTGAGTATTTCTGAGGTTCTGCCCTTATTTAACATTGGTTGCTTTAATTACATTGATTTCTCTCCTCGCTGTGTTCTTTATAACACAGCAACCTAAAACAAACAGCACTTCCCCATGATTTATCCACTGAAGCGCACTGCTTCTGATTAGGGGCCAGTGGGTGAGCAGAGAACCTTGTTTTACTTTCAGCAGCAGCTCTGGATGATTGAGCTCCCCGCGCCGCTTCGAGTAACAGCTGAGGACTGTATAGACAGGCAAATCTCACCCCTGGCTGCACACAGCACAGAGGCTGCCAGAGCTATCACAGAAATACAGCCTCACTGATTTCCCTACAAATCACAAACCAGGAATCAAAGTTCAGGCAGAAGGGTGAAAAAGTGCAAGGTCCTTTTCTCCTGCTGCAATTGCAGCACAACAATAAAATAAGAGGATGCAAGCAGTTGATTATTTCTTTGTGGAGCACAGGCTAGGGCTTTGGTGCGCTGCTGGCACAGCGGTACATCCCAAAACACGCTCCCAACATCCCAAAACATGCTCCCATTGCTTCTGGGGGCTCACCTTGTGTTAGGTGGACACGGCCAGCCTTACCTGAGCTTTCAGATTCCGCCGAGTCAGGACGTTGAAGCGCAAGGCCTTGAAGCGCTTCTCCAGCTTCTCGCAGTCCACGTCAGAGCCGTCTCGAGTCAACAGATCTGAGTCTTCACTGAAGTTGACGTTGTTGAGGATCAGGCAGTGTCCGCATGGGTCTGCTTTCAGCTCGTAAACCTGGCAGTCACATGTCACAATTAAACACCTTCTTATTTGGAGCACTTGCTGGCTAATACAGCAGGACACAATGAGGAATGGGAGTCCTTAAAGTAGCTCATTTCGCAGCATTTTCATCCTCCAGGCCTAGGGAGGGATAAAAGCATCCATTCTCCACATGCATCTTGTTACCAGCAGCCAGAGAACACAAAACAACCTGTCGAATCAGGAGCTGCCTTTGTGGAAAACCAGTCACTTCTTTACCTGCAGTGTCTCTGATGGCAAGTTGAAGTTTCTGGGAGTTTTTTTAGGCATACTCATCAAACCTCACCACAAAAGCCCACACAAGGAGCCAAGAGAACAGGCAGATAAATCTTCCGGAGACTCAGCTTTACCATCAACGACACCACCACAGGAATTTGATGAGGGCTACCCAAACACCTGCACCGATACAGCCACGAGCCTGGCACGTACGCAGCCAAACTATTCCCTCAGGCTGTCGGAAGGCAACTCCGGAAACATTCACAACACTCGTTCCCTGCACGTTTCCCAACGCACCAAAGCATGCTGCATGTGTTCATTATTGTTTTCCTGCCGTCTGTGTCTCAATGCCACGACTATAAAGTCTAAACACCACAGACAACACGTGACTTGGTGCCTTTGGAAATTGAGTGCAAGCTTTAGTTTTACATTAGTTTTGTTAAAGCTGCAGTAATCTTGAGGAGGAGCTGGCTAATGACTGACCTGCTCTGTGCCGACCGGCCCCATTACAGTGGCGTCAGTCTCGCAGGGATTGCTCGGATAACACAAAGCAAGAACCGGCTGTCCCGGGGCTGTTTTCTGGTGGCCACCCACAAGGCACGGAGCTTTTGCTTAAGAAGGAACACTTTCAACCTAACCAAATACTAACCAGATCGTGGTTCCTCTTGTCAACAGCTGAACCTACAACACGCAACAGAGACACAGCATTTAGCTCCCTGCATCCCACAACGAGGCCTTATATATCTTCCTCCTAGAATTCATGTCAATCCTTCCCTGTCACCCAGGACACATCAGCAACACGTGAAAATTCCCCCTTCCCAGCCCACCACACACTGGAAACGAGCATTTGGCACACCGACCCTCCAGGAAAGCTGGGGACAAAGCTTACCCTGGGCTGGCATGCGAGGCTTTTGAAGTCTTTCGCTCTCAGCTTGGACTGGGATGGATAAATGTTCAGGAAAGTTCACATCTGTAACAACACGGGACAGTCAGGTCTCACCCTCTCCCCCTTAAATTTCATGCTACGAGTAACCAACGTGGGGTCCCCAGAAGGACCTGAGCCAACAGCCGCCTGTTGCAGTGACCCTGTGGCAAGGCTGCAATATGACATTGGGTCCTTTTTCCCATGTCCATTTTTCTCTTTACAGGGTTCGACAGACTAAAGTTTCTTCTTAAAACCTCACAAGCTGTATCTGCACGCAGATTCAGCAGAGTGCAAGACAGTGAACGCATGGCAAAATCCATTTTCACCAAAGTACCGTGTAGGTTACGTGCAAAAATACAGAGAAGGAAGCTCCTAACACCATGAGCACATAGCCCGAGCTTAAAAGCTTCCACTACTGAAACCCACAACATTCTCTGTGTAGCGACCTCTGCAAGCCATACTCCAGGATATTAAAGATCAGGACTTCATGAAACATTACCCATGACAAGAGGGATCCCAGCTGCCACCCCCCACGTTGCTGTTTGCCCAGAAAACAACTGCACCCTCAATATTTACTTTTATTCTGCTTTTCTCCACGTAATTCCAGCTTGACAGGCCTCAGGTCTACCAGCTGTGGTGGCACCGGCGAGCATTTGCACTCCTCAATCAGCATGTCTGCGAGGTCACCCTGCCCCGTGTCCCGCAGAATCGAGAGGAATATGGGAAAAGCCTGTTTCCCTCGAGTCTCCAGGTCGATGACCAGCTGCCGGGCTTGCTCTCCTCGGCTGCCAGCGCTCTACAGAGGAGGAAAGCCCCAGACAATGTGTGTTCACCCCAAGCCAAGGCTCAGCACCTGGCCAGCCCTTCTGACCAGCACCCAGGATCCACACCGAGCACATCTGCATGGGCTGAATGAGACAAGTACCCAGCAGCCACAGGCACAGAGAACCTCAGCAGCCACTCGACCCCCATCCAATCACAAAGACCTGCTGCCTCCACGGGGACACACAGCTGCAGCCCACTGTAGGGCCTGGAGGAGGAAGGAGCATCCCTAGCCTGTCCCCAGGGGACAGACAGGCACCCCCCTGCCTGTCACTGGTGCGCAGGACAAGGTAAGACACCCCCAGGCCTGTCACCAGTAACAGATGGGAAATGGGGACCCCTAAGCCTGCCACCAGGCTGGGATAAGGAGCCACGGAGAAACCCCTATGGCTGGCACTGGCTGGGGCAGGGGACAAGGAGGGACAAGATGTGGGGGTCTTACACCTCTTACCTGCAGGGCTCTGCGTGGGGAGGGACGAGGGCCACTCCCTCGGGCTTGTCACTGGGGTGAGAGGACAGAGGGCCCTTCCTTGGGCCTGTCACTGGGCCTCCCTCAGGCCTGAGGGAACACGGGGGCCACCCCACACAACCGCCCCCCCCCCCCCCCC